GAGCTCATGATATGGTAATCTAATGTACCACACATTGAATTTTTTCTCCATGAGTCTGTGTGATCAGTTGTTTAATGAAAAAATTGAATCTCCCTGTACAAATTCAAAGTTTATTGGACACACCTTCATACTTTTGTTATTAACAAAAATTGTCTCTCGAGACTTTCATATATCACCGTTTCATAGTAGGAAATTTGATTTTTCTAAATTCACTGAAAGTAATGTGACAAAAAATTAAACGAAGCAACACTTTGTATCTTTAAAACTAAATTACCTACATTATAAGTCTATTAGATAATGTTACTTTAATTTTCAAATATACACTTTTTCTTGTTTTGGCTCTCATATTAAAGTTTTTGTTTATGTTCTATTTTTTTTTTTTTTTTTGGAAAAGATGGGATTTGCTGACCCATGTTAATATGAACTTTTCATCTTATTTTTACATACACTGCCTTTAATTTTGAACCACCTTGTATATAATGATTCTTTAAGCGTACTAATGGTGCATCACTGTTGAAAATGAACAAATAATTATTTCAGACAGGTCCGTTAAATCAGTTCTGTCTGGGGTTAATTGATTTTATCATTAGTAACTGAATTGAGAGTTGTTAATTGTTGATTACTGTAGTAATAATTGTGCTAATAATATGTTGGAACCCATCCATTCTTTGTTGATATATCCGTAATGTATACTTGCCAACAGCTGGTCTCTTTCTTTTGATTTGATTCTTTTGGAGATTGTAATTTTTATACCTTGTATAAAAGAGTAGAATAAAATGATTATATTTGAGGAGTGATTTTTTCTTAAAATCCTTTGCCTCAAGTCCCGGGTTTCCTGTGAGAATCATGTTATCAAGAATTTGTTTTGACTTGTCCAATTTACTACTGTCCATTGGAGGGATAGTAGTAAATTAGACTTACTGAAAAGTATACGATTTAGATCATTTCTGAAAAGGTAAGTTATTTGTAAAAAGGTAACACAGGTAACATGAGCGTGCACATACAACCGAATTTGAGATTTGCCCAGTAGACTAATGGCGTAGACAATAGTTCCTTAAATGGCAAATTAATATTTTAAAAGTTGTTAATTAAAATTAATTCTCTACAATTCATCCGAAACCGAGCTTGAAATCTAATATTCTGTGTACTTTTTGATCTTTAACTTCTAAAAACTTTATTATTTTTCTACTTGGTATTTTACATAAAAATTTTATCATTTTGCTCTGATTTATTTGATTAGATTATGGCGGACTATCAAATATTTTAAAATTAAATTAATTCATTTATAAAATACCTTTCTTTTTCGAATTATAATTCGATTTGGGATTATTATTCTGGGGAACACGTATTATTACCCCAAAATTGACCCTCCCCCACTTACATTATTTAAATTGCCATCAACACCAATAGAAAAATAAAATGTAATGTAAGAAAATAAATATATACTGGTTGATTCAAATTTATCCAAAAAAATTTGGTAATGCGTCGTGAAAAATGGAATCAATATTGTAGAAAATGTTTAAATCCTTGTAGTTTCCGAGAAAAAAGTTATTGAAGTTGTATTTAAATATCGCTGGAGTACTGTAGTTTCTAGCATTGTGCGCTATATGCAATTCGCTCTCTCTCCATCTGTCCCAGACGATTCCGAATATCGAAATCCGATTTTAGTGTTAAAGTTTTTGCGATAGTGTTTACATTAGTTTTTCAAGTGTCAAAAATGGCTTGGCTTGCATGTATAACAACTCGGAGTTGATGGATATCGTTTTAATTTATGGTGAAGCAAGCCAACATTTGTGTTAGTTCGTAGAAACTGGGTACGACGGGACGTTTACACGTCGGTGGACAAAATTTTGAACAGTTTTAAATTATTTTATTAATTAAAACTACAAATTATAATTTCATTAAAATAATAGCGGCAAAAACAGTTAAATTTGCTGATATAAAATAGGTGTAAATTTTATTTCTTTACGAAAAAAATTCTTTCAATTTTTTGTCCGTTTATTTATTTTTATTACACTTTACCACCACACAGTAGGAAATATGGGATAAAATTCTACGCACTCGGCTATTCTAACCGTACAGTGGTAATTTCTTTTTTGTTCTTCTTCAAATATACTTTATTTTATGATCCTGGTGCGATAATTTGATATATCTATATAAATTTTTTTAAATTGAGTGAGAATCCATCAGCCTCGACACCAAAAATAATAATTCGGTATTTAAATATAAAAAAAAAAAAATAAAAAATTTCGTATCTGAGGTTGATTAAACAAAATAATCATGTAGCTTCACAATACTTTTCAACTTTAAACCTGAACCCAAATTCATTAAATTTAACCTCAAATAGCCGAGTGCGTAGAATTTTTTTGCAATATGCGCCGTGCCGGTTGCCGACTGCATGCTTTGTCAGGATTTACAGTGGACTAGTTTCCAGTGCAGAAGTGTATTTTGAAATAATTTTCGAACTACCCTTTTGATTTTTTTTTACACAATTGTATTTGTAAGTACCTACATTAAAAAAATTTTTTCGGATAAATTCTGAATCATCTTGTATATTTTCATTATTAGTGAAAGTGAGGATCCAATCTTGGAAATTCATAAAGCAGGGACGGCTCTAGAAATTTTGCGCGTAAATATTTTTAAAACAAAATACCATTTTAATGAGTTGCCACACATGTATACCTATCAGAAATTTTATACATTACTGCTCCATATTTACATATACAATAAAACGTCAATTTTTGAAATGTACCTACTAATGTTGCAAACAGGTTACTTATTTTGTTAAAAGTCCATCAACGTCGCCCTGAAGAATAGCAAACAAGAGAGAATCGCCGGCCCCAGCGCTCCCGATTGTTCATTTGCGGATGTCGTCCACGGCCATCTTGGACGCCTCGCCACGGCGCCGGCATCGATCGGATTCAGTGCGCGAAATCAAGTCGCCCTTGTAACATCTCGGCGAAGAACACTCACTAGATGTTCTCATCCCAAATTCATCAATGGATCCCCACACGGACCTAGGTGAGTGGCATGATATTTTGTTCTTTTTTTATTGTCGTTTCGAAAAACTCGTCATGTCTTCATCGTCAGTCGCCAGTCAATGCAAGCGTATGAATAGGAGACATTGACGTATGTTGTTCTTGCGATAACATTTGGACCTTATTGTTAACATAATGTATAAAAGGAAGGTCGTGGAAATGTTTGTTATTAAAATAGAAGTGGATCTCGGAAATGTTTATAATTATGTGATTGTTTGTGAAAGTCAAAATTAAACGGTTGATTTTTTATACTTGACATGAAAAGGGGTACGTACTTTCAGTTGTTTAATATAATTATATTCCGCGATGGGTCAACGAAGTTTGATTTACGTAATGCATTAATTTTTTGTTTACAACAACGTTTATTACTGTTGCATAGCTTTGCTTTTTTTATTTATCAGAAAGTAAACAAGATAACAGATTGTCTGCAAGAAATTAATTTATTTGTGTGAAAAACAGTAGGTACATGCTTGTTAATATTGGTATGAATTGTTAAACATTGTATTTATCTCGTGAAAAATAATTTTCAAATTCTGAATATATTACGCATTAAGTCTACGTCATAAAAACTTTAAACACCTTACCATAGGTGGCGTTCCGACTGATAACTTGTTAGTTGTATGCCGCAAATGAAAAATTATTAACTAGAATTTTATTAATTCTCCATCTTCTCTAATTTAATATTTACATAAAAAGAGTATAATTTTTTATATGAAAGTAATATCATCTTTTTTGATATTTTTTAACAAATACCTTTTAGGAATTACACCCACTGATTAGTTGAAATTTGAAAGGGGCGTGGCCCTTTTCCTGATCCATACCTTTAAGATGTCCCTATTTATTTCACTTTTCACTTTCTCCTGTTTGTAGGCGAACAATACTCTATTGATTCCTTTTTTTAGTCCAAGTTCCAATCGATCGAAATAATATACTAAATTATATTTAATAAGTAGATAATAGAAATCGATCGGAGAGGGTAGACTGACGACCTTTTCGAGATAAGGTTTTTTTGCTCCCGTATTATTAATAATTCATTGTGTTTCGTTTGATCGACGCTGGGACGTCAACAGAATATAGCAGACTACATAACGAATGCCCATGTTACATGAATACAGGGTTGGTTTTTAAATTTATCGTGTAGGTAATACTTTGATATAGTTAATACTCTTTCTACTTTGTTACTTATCAAAACGTTGTTTTTTTTTAACCCACTTAAACTACAAACTATTGTTTTAAATAAATTACAAGCAGTCATCCTTGATGATGTTAGCTCTTATTTATTTCCCAATGGGCCGCTACGGCTCTGCGACATAACTTTTGAAATGAATAATTCAGAAGTGCAGTAAAGTGATCCGCATACAAACTTGTCCTTTTGTTGTCTTGGGTTGAGTATAATTCAAGAACCATGTAGCATGTCGCTTGGCCTTCGAATTAGTTCACAAGTTTGGAAACTTCAAATTTATAGTTATGAAAGATGCTACTGATTCTTGTATTGAGTATTGTTTTTCTGAAACAATAATCTGAAACCACCGGTGCTATTATGTCAAAATTGATCAGAGGCAAAGATATTATACAAAAAACAAACCAAAAACTTCGATAACTGATTTTAATTCCAAGTATAGTGTTTCTAAGAAAAATATCTACTTGATAACTTTGATAAAACAAACCTTTTTTTTATTTACCTTGCATTACAGACACTTCAATTAATTTAAAATAACTATAACTAAATACTGTTTTATAACAAACTTTTATAGATTTTATTATTAGAAATGCGATTTTAAATAGGTATAATGTTTGAGTCAAAATGTAGAAACAATAATCATTGGCAAATAAATTTTGCATTTTACTGCTACCTCTAGAAAAATGCGATAATTTTACGTTAATGATTTCTTCCATAATTTCGCAAAAAAAAATAAATTCAATTAACTGGAGGTTGTGGAAGTTCCACCACCAAGTCTTAAATAATTCTGCTTCCGCTGAAAAACTGTTTTTTTTTTGTATTTTCTGTATTCACATATAGGATTAATGTAAAAGCAGCTCTTCCTGCGACTTTTAAAATAGATTAGTTCTTTAATTTCTCAGGGGATGCGGGTAGAGCAAATTCATAGGGTACAGTTTCGGATAGCCGATGGCATTTTAAATTAGGAAAGCGGTAGGAAATTACAATTTTGCCGGGGTGACATTATAATTAAAGTTCAGCGATTTTAATCTCTGACAAAAAAATGTGTTTGAAACTTTTGTCTAGTTACCTACAAAAAGATCTTTAATCTTGTAGCGGTACGCTACAATTACATTTATTACCTGCCCCAATAAATATATTTTGCTTTCTGGGCATTTACGAGCCATATAAATGCTATATACTTTGAATTATCCGAAATTATCCCAAATAAATGTATTTAGCAAATGAGATTAGAATAAGTAGGCTGTAAACATAAATTAGTTGTTGTTTATTAGGGTACATAAGCATAAACCGAGTAGGTAATGACGTGGATAAGTGTTAATTAGGATAGGGCAATAAAAGTAGGTACCTGGGGACAAGGATAAAAACCGAAAACTTTTTGAGACACGAATCAGAAGTCTTGAAGCCTAGTTCCTGCTCGGTTATGTCTCGTGTTACCAGCGAAATTAGTAGAATAAAGTTTTCCATGCTAGGTACTTAGAGTTTTTCTTCTCACTTGAAGACCAAACCACTATAATCTCTATTGATTTGACCACTTATATCTACAGAATATCATTTTACTCTCTGATAACTATACAGGGTGTCAAAGAAATACCAACCTGAGAAAAGCAAGAGGGGGATTTGACATTTAAATGACCTTGAAAATTAAAAAATAGCCCAAGCACGTGTTCGAACGTAAAATTTCTCGATCTTTCAGAATCCGGAGTCAAAAATTCTATTACCATAAAAAAACAAGAATTGACTTGAACATGAGCTACTCTGTCAAATGGACATCGGATTCGGATATAGCGGTCCCAGAAACGTATCGGTATGGTGGTATAGTATATCACAGATTGAATTTTTTTGCCACGGGGTTGTGTTATTAGATAAAGGTTGTTGTTTTTTAATTAATGAATTAATTAATAATAATTACAATTTTGGCACTTATTTCTGGGGCATCCTGTATTCACCATATCGTTTTGCAGCAAATGTAATAACATACTGAAAGATGTAAAAAAGCTGGATCGATGTCTAAGCGTGATTCCTACGTCAATAGTGTTTTTATGCTTTTTTTTTAGAGCATTACATTGAAAGAAAACGAACGAAATAAAATTTCATATAAAAGATAACACAAAATAACAATTTGTCAGTGCCTATACTTACAAAATCAGTACCTACTTAGAAAATAATGAATACGTATCTATTGATATAAGATTTTATTTTGCTACATATTTTTCATTTATTCATTAATGCGATTGAGCCGACGATCGTATTTAAATGACGTTTTAAATATGTAATATATTGGACAATAACTCACATTACTTCAGTGAGTCAAAGTTTAATTAATTGATCGCCGATATACCTAAACAGTACTTATTTTAATTTTAATGAAAGTTTATGCAAATACATATTGTAAATTCTGATATCGAGGTTATAAATACCAAAGATGTTGATAATTTGAACACCTAATGATAGAGATGTGAGGAAAATTAGTGCAAAAATCGCATGGTGGTTAATGATAATAATATAATTGCTATGCTAAGTGAAGTGGAGTTATTCTGGGACAGATAAAAATTTAATAGTAGGGCAAATTGGAGCAATAGTGTGAACATCAAATCGTATTTATTTTTCATTTGAGTTCATTTGTTCAACAATCGATAAATGGCTGTTGTACAGGGTTATCACGCGAAAATGTCAATTTCGTCTGCAACTTGATTGCCCTTGAAAATATGGAAAAAGTAAATATGATTAATTCATACATTTTTTGCGAGAAACTTACTCCTTCTATAAAACGAAATTGAGTGTCGCTTTCCTGAGATCTAAGTACTTATCAGTAGCTCTGTTGTTGTTGTGGAACACCGTGTATATTTTGTATTCTACATATTCTATTAAGACTCTTTCGGCACCGGTACAGAAATACAAGATTTTATTATTCTCTACCCGTACTAAGAAAAAAGTATTATAAAGAATACGCCATAAGTAGTAACTAAAGGTTTATATTACGTTCATTTTACATATTCCAGCGAAGTAAACAATGATCGAAAACTGTAATGGCTGTAAAACTATTGGTCGAAATGCATCAGAGATTGCTATTTGATCAGTTTCGACCAATATGTTTGCAGCCACGTGCTTATCACGCGTGTATAGTATCATTTCATATAGTTAGTTTTAAAATGGTAACAAACGACGACACTTATAAACGCGCACAACCGATGGCGGCGAAAATTAATTATAACCGGACTATTTCAGACCAGTGTTCTGAGGTACACGTAGTACTACCACTAATAAACTGACCCCAACTTAAAGTTATTTAATAAATATTTTAATTTTTTTTAATACCCTTTTTATCTTATAGACCCAATACCGATTCTTGCACCGTGATACCCAGCCTCACCAAACACCAGCCTCCGAAGCTCAAACCCCGCTCAAAATGTCTAGCCGTTCCAAAGACAAGGTGACCGGCATGTTCCGCAAGCTCTTCAAGTCCTCGAACAAAGAGGGCGAGGGACCAAGCAAACCCAGCACCTCCGGCGGCGGTTCCCCTGCCAGAAGACTGTTAAGATGCCGAGACAGCGTTTCCCCAGCCACGTCACAGACCAGCCCGGGCTTCAGCTCGAAAGCGAAGCGCGAAGAAGCCCAGAACAAGACGGTGCGGGCCAGGAGGCTGATGAAGGAACTGCGCGACCTCCAGCGACTCCAGAACTCCAAAACGGACCCCATCTTCACCGTGGAGCTCGTGGACGACAACCTATTCGAGTGGCACGTGAAACTCTTCAAAGTGGACAGTGATAGTGACTTGGGCAACGACATGAAGGACCTGGGGATCGGCCACATACTCCTCCACCTCATTTTCCCGGAGAACTTTCCCTTCGCCCCGCCGTTCATGAGGGTGATCTCGCCCAGGATCGAGAAGGGGTTCGTGATGGAGGGCGGCGCCATCTGCATGGAGCTGCTCACGCCCAGGGGGTGGGCCAGCGCGTATACCGTCGAGGCGGTCATCATGCAGTTTGCGGCTAGTGTTGTGAAGGGCCAGGGCAGGATACAGAGGAAAAACAAGGGCCAAAAAGTGTTCAGTAGACGGACGGCAGAGGAGAGTTTCAGGTCGCTCGTAAAGACGCACGACAAGTACGGCTGGGTCACACCCAGCCTGGCCGACGGTTAGGTGGGCGGACGTCGCGTTCTCAACAAATCCGATCCTGTGTCAAAGCTGGTTCTTCAGGTATTATCCATTCATTTACCACTTCATGTTTGAAAAAGGTGCCGTTGGTTCAGGGACTGGCTCGCTGGTAAGACATCAAAAACGAAACGGTCTTTCTGTGGATCGTTGGTATATTGTTCTTTGCTTTTGGTTGTACTTTTGCAACATTCATTTTTTTTCATTAAGTTCTTAGGACATCACTTTGTGAAAATAATGTTTATTTTTTTTTTAAATCTCAAAAACAAAAGACAAGCGGGTCCATAGTCCACAGGAAAAGTCGTCATATATTTTGATGTTCTATCAACCCCCGAGTATATGGCACTTTTTTCAAAACACCCTGTATAAAACTCTGCCACACTTTACCTCCACAAGTTTTAGACTTGGCTTGTTTGGGAGGTGCCGATATCAAGAAAAATAGTTTCGAACCGTATACGAAATAATTTTTTTGGGCATTTTCCAAAATTTTAACTTTATCTAAAAATAAAAATAAGTTAAAAAATTGGAACCCCTTTTGAGCCCAAAAAATTATTTGCGTTGTAACGACACTACGCAAAAATTTCAGAATTTGAAAAAAAGTACCATTTTAATTTTTTTTGCAGTTGAAGGAAACTACCGCATTGTTATTAGATACTTTATCCGTTTTTTAATTGTTTATAATTGTTTTATTTTTATTAACACAGAAAAATAATTTTAAAATGGTATTTCTGATTCAAACATTCCAATTTTTTGCCAGTACTTAATGAATGGATTATACCTCCAAGCATATATGTATACTCCAGTCGATTTACAGTTTGAATGTGAAAAAATCATTAGTAGACATTTTATTACATTTTATGACGGGGAAGCGTACGTAGACTGATAATATTAAAAAAGTAACTCGAAAATTCGGAAAATTAGCCATTTTATTTTGTAATAAATTAAATTACCTACATTTTAAAACTAAAGTCATATTTCAACAATTTTTATAACTGTAAAATAAAGATTGAACGCGGAAAAATCAGTTTTCGAAAGTTTTCGTTTTTTTGCAACAAGGTTCTAATTGATCCATAGAAACATATCGAAAAAGAAAAATTCAAAAAAATTGAAAATTAAATAGCCCTGTACAACTAACAAAGTAAGACGTGCAAAACAGCATTATAAATTGTCCTCAAGGTCAGGCAAAAGCCGCTCGGGAATTCGCTCTTTTTGCATTAAATAGAGCTTATTTTTACGGTAATTTAAAAAAAAGAGAAGACAGCTTTTTCATAAGAAAGGGTTAAACTTTTGTTTCCAAAAAGTTTTACATTGACAGTTAATGTAAAAAACGCGCTTAAGAAAAATAAAATGCACCATCTTAAAGTAGATATTTTAAGCTGTAAAAAATGCCCATAAGTTTCAATATCACATTTACAACTATAGTTTTTAATTTTTACAGTATGGCCTAAAAAGTCAAATTTGTGATTTTTTAAAATTATTGAATATGTTGGGCTCAATATTTTTCAAATTAAATTTTTAAGATTTTTTCCATATCGCTCACTGTTTCAATCGTCATTTGAAGAAGTGTGAAAGTTACAGATATTTATTTTAAAAATTAAAATAATGACAGCTATTTTATTATTATTGTACAAAATTATACAATGACGTAACTTTGTATACGTACGTATTATATATTTTTTTTTCTCAAGTTTAAAGACATAAAATTTTGATAGCCGGATGACTCTTCTTTCATTTAAATTTTTGTGAGGTTGATTTGATCGATTAGATCAAGTTATAACAAATTTAGTGCAACGCGCTCGGGGCTTCGAGAGCTATACTCGGGGGCCGCCCGTCTCATTTTTCGTACGTTAGAAAAAAAATTTTACAGCCTTCAATTCGCATTTTTGGAAAAAACTTTATTAACATTTTTTATGTAAAATTTCCTGTCCTTTCGAATGGCGCAGTTAATTTTTTTTTAATTATATTTTATATATTTTTCAAAAACTGTAATTTTGCAACTAATTTGTTAAATAAATAATTTAGCGTACACTCTACAGTTGGTAATTTTTTATATGTTGTTTCTGACAACTTTACAAAGCGAAAAATAAAAAGTTCTCTCTTCCAGTAATTTTCGCGAAGTCAAAATCTATCTTGACTCCACTATGAAGCCTGCGCGCGGGAGAAGGAGCGCCGGGCCCGCGCATGCGCGTGAACGTTGCTCTCGTCGCATGCGAGATTTTTTACTTGAACGTTTCAAATTCCCGATCGGCTTTTTTTTTGACCTTGGGACAATTTGTTTATAACCCTGTTGTGCACTTTGCTACTTCGTTAGTTGTAAAGGGCAACTTAATTTCAACTTTTTGAAATTTTTTAAGTAAAACCTATACCTACGATATTAACATCTAAAATTAACATTTGGTAATTAAACAATTAGTCGTAGAAAAGCAAAACGAAATTAATTAACAAATAGCTGCAGTAACAATTTCACGGTCAATCGAATCGGTCTTTGGTACACATGTTGGTCATTGGATTGACCGTCTTTTCCATAAATTTCATCAACATTCATCGCTGTTTGCAGTAATAATGCGCAATTTTCGAAAATTGATATTTCCGCGTTCGACCTTTATTTTATAGTTAACAAATTATTGAAAAATGACTCTAGGTACCTTAAATTGTAGATAAGTTAATTGCTTACAATATAAAATGACTAATATTCCGATAGGCTGTCTAGATTTTTGTAGGCAGTAAAAAAAGTGAAAAAACGTAAATTTGCAACTTATTTGCAATTTGCCAACTTATCGTCACTCTTTTTGAGTTACTTTTTTGATATTATCATTCTACATACCCTTCCCCGTCATAAAGCGCAATAAAATGTTTACTAATAATTTTTTCAAGTTATCAGATTTTACGATCTAATTCGACTGGAGTACTAATGCCACCTCAGAAGTACATTTTTACATATTCCATATTAGGTACTAGTAGGACAAGTCTGCATGATCTACCGCGCGTACCATACCTATTAACTCTTTTTACATTTTATTTTTTTCAAGGGTGACGCCTAAGTTGAAAATCTGTTAAATATTGTAGGCAGCATCTTAAATGGGGTTCAGAAACATACCTAAAACTTGTATTTTGTGCACTGTGTATATATTTGAAAGAGCATTGGACCTAAACTATAACCTTGAAGTATACCACTTTTTTAGTTCTTATTCAATGTTGAGGAAAAGTTAAAGTGAAATATCTGCTTCTAGGTAATTTTAACGACTCTACCTTGTAAAATATATAGGGTGAATTAAATTCTGGTCGCGGTAGCACCGAAATTAAAATATTTTGTCTGAAGTTAAAAAATTATTAGACTATGGTTCTCAAAGAAATTAGAAGTTTTAAGATTTAAACAAAATATTTTATCGGTACTTAGTAAGCAGGATTTTCCTCAACAAACGACTGATCTGTGGACATTTTCTCTGTTTAGCTCAAATAGTTCAGCTCAAATCGTTACTTATTATGCTCAAAAAAACAACAAGATTCGGTTTGCTTAGAAATCATTAAATATATTCTCTGGAAATTGTCGATAAAAAAAATTATAAATACTCAAATTAAATTATTCTCATTTTAGGGTAAGGATTTATCATATTGAAATGTGTTGCTGTAAAAAAAGTGTTTGTAAAAAATTGTTCTTTACATATTTAATTCATCTGCAGGCATTTTTTGTTTGGAACTTTCAAAAAGTCATAATATCGTTGATCTTTCTCAAAGGAAGCATGTTAAACAAATGCCGTCGGAATAAACAAATTTCTGCCAAAAACAATTGAAACTGCAACAGAAACAAGCACAAAGTTCGTAGGCAACCATCTATACATTCCCACTTAGCAATGTCTTAGTGAAATTTTGGTTACATGCGTACTGTATAGTATTTCCACAAATTATATTTCAGACGTTATACATTTTAATGAACGTTCAAATTAAAAAAAATGCTCATGACATATATATTTTATATAAAAAGTTTTAGTAGGTTTTAGCTTCTAGCTTTATAACGACGATAATACGTGTGTCCATAGTGAGCAGTATTAATTTAGATCATAGTTTGTACTGTGTGTGATCTGTTATTATATGTGTATTTAGTTTTATATGGATATTTTGTCTTCCAATATATTTTATACTTTTTATTTTAAATTATTCTTAGGTATACAAGTGTATCATATTTGTTATATAAATATATGTGATAAATGTTGAGAAAATAAATGTTTTAATTATTCGCAGGCCTTCATTTCCAGCCAAGAACTTTTTAAAAAGAATTAAGAGTAATCAGACAAAAATTCGAATACATAAATTAAAAAATGGCAGGTACAGTGAAATATAACAAAATCTAAAAACATCTTTAAGTGTGTAATTCGTATTTCAGTGTTAAACCCCTTCATCGAAAATAAATTTAAATATTGATTAGTTTTGCTAGTAAATTATTTGATGCTTTATTCTCAAATTTAGTCCAAAAATATTGCTTGGTGTTCTGCTGAAGTCGGTGCCGTAACAAGGTATAGGCAGAGTAGGCACACGCCTATGGGTGCAAACTGCTAAGGGCGCATGTAAAGGAGTTGAACACAAAAGTTTTAAGAAATATTTTTGCAAAAACATTCTGGGAATTTTTGTAAAATCTTTATAGTTTCTGAGAAAAAAATTATTTAATACTGAAATGCGATAGTGTTTACATTAGTTCTTTAAGTACCAACAATGGTTTACGTGTATAGCAACTCGGGAATTGATGGATATCGTTTTAATTTAAGGTGAAGCAAGACGGGCCCAAATGTGTTTACACGTCGGTGGACAAAATTTTGAACAGTTATTGTAATTACTTTATTAACTAAAACCACAAATTAATTGTATTAATTAATAATAACAATAGAGGCAAAAGCAGTTGAATTTGTTGACGTAAAATAGATGTTTTAAATTTTATTTATTTCTTTCCTTGGGAAAAAATTCTTTCAATTTTTTGTTTGTTCATTTTGCCGCCGTGCCAGTCGCCGACTGCATGCTTTGCCTTGACCAGTTTCCAGTGCTATGCAGAAGTGTATTTTTAAAATCATTTTTGAACTGTCCTTCCTGATTTTTTTTTCAAAGTTGTAAATATTTGTAAGAGTTCCCTGTACGTTCAACAATTTTTTCCCTGTATATTAACTTATTATGTTTTTAATTCTGGCTTATTACTAGATTTACTTTTAATTTTTTTTTTACAAATAATTAGGTACTTATGTACTTAATATTTTTTTTGTTTCTACAGTTGTCTTTGTGTTTGTTTGTTTATACAGGGTGATTGAAAAAACCGCTGACAGACTTCTAGGGTAGATAATACATAAAAAATTAAGACGAAAAGTTTTAATAAACATAGGGTCGCAAAAGCCTCCTTAACGAGATACAGGGCGTCAAAGTTTCTGTAAAATTAAACATTGTCTGCAATAATTCCAAAATGCCTGAACATTTCTATTTCAAATTTGCTATGCGTAGTTAGCACCTTAAGACCAATGTTTGATGTACTGCTCAAAATTTTATGAGCAGCAGTGTCGTAGAGACGGGGTCAACGTGACCTTTTTTTAAAATATTTTCTACGCCCCTGCTAATTTTGTCAAACGGGCACTATTTTCGTGTAAAGTGTTCAATTGTCTATCGAATTGGTCTCTTGCAAAATTTGAATTAAAGCAACCATTTTTAAGAGAAACACCTTTGTAGAAAATTTGTAAATCCAATTTTATTTTCATTCATTTTAGTTTCGCATAGTAGGCTTGTGCTATTCAAAATAAAATTTTTTTCTTTTTCTTTTTCTTTCTAGTCTTTTTTTTTCTGGTTTATGTCTTTGAATGAAAGAAAGTAGCACCCCTTGGTTTTATTTCTCACTACTTTTTTCTACGTTAGCCTATTCCAACAAGAAAAATAGCTTTTAATACTACATTTCATTAAGAAACTTTTACTCTTCCCATTTTTTCGTATACTTAATGGTTTACGAGCAAAAAACTAAATTATTTTTCCTTGATTGACTGATTAGGTACACATAATTAGTATAACAGTTACCAAAAACAATCGTCATTTTTGACATGATTTTCGCAAAAAATTTTTTTTTATCAATAGGAAAAGCTATGCAAATATGAACTAAAAATTTAATAAAAAAAATGTAAGCTAATTTTTTCGGCCATTTTGAGATTTGAATATTTTCTCAGGGGAGGCCCAAATTGAAAAACTGTATTGGAAGTACCTCCTCTAAAATTACTTTTTAAGCACCTCCTTAAAATATTTGCACATCATTATGAAACACCTTGTATATTAAGTGAAACAATTTATCATGTTTTATTTGCGTGTTTTTATTACATTTTTAAAAATAAAATGTTTGGTTTTGAGTTTTTGTTTATTGTTAACAATTAAGTATGGGCGCAAAATTAAAAGCTCGCCTCTAGTAAAATTTCTTCTAGTTACGGCACTGGCTGAAGTTCATGGTTCTGCTAAAAAAATTAATTGATAAACGGTTGCAAAAAATTTGCAAATCGCCCTACAAATTGCAACAAAAATTAATTACTTAATTAAGATAAAAAAGTTCTAAAATTATTTATAATTTTAGCATAGGGTAATACGATCCTAAAGACATAAATGTGTCCCAAAAGGTGCGATTCCAAATTATAAATAAGAAGCTTAGGTAGAACATGTAAGTATTACTTGTTTTTGACAAAATATTCATTTAGCAAAAAGTCGCTTACTAAATATTTACTCAAAATGTTAAACAAAATAGGTCACAATTGGGTAGGTGTATAAATAACATCCTGTACAGCAATTTCGTACAGGTTAGACAACTGAACTGCATTCCCTGTTTTACCGACGTCCTTTTCAAACTGTCTATCACTGACAGTTTACCATTTGACCAGAAAACCTCAGTAAATTCGTATTTAGGAGATAATTCATTGTCTTACCTTCATATTTTATAAACTATTAGTAGTTGAAATTGAAAAAGTAAAATGTTGATCAAAGTCAAGGTAAGCGTTATAGGTTAGAGTTAGGTTATGAAACGTTGGGTAACAATTTTAATGACTTGTATTTCCAGACACTGACCGGTAAGGAAATCGAAATCGATATAGAACCCACGGATAAGGTGGAAAGGATCAAGGAGAGGGTAGAGGAAAAAGAAGGAATACCTCCACAGCAGCAGCGGTTAATTTTTTCTGGGAAACAAATGTACGTTTCACATTTCGATTATCCGGAGTGTTTGGTCTCTGTTAATACCTATTTGTCGTTTTTAGGAATGACGAAAAGACGGCGCAAGACTACAAAGTTCAGGGAGGTTCCGTTTTGCATTTGGTGCTGGCCTTACGTGGTGGAAGAAACATTTAATTTATATTTTTTTATTGTAAGTCTTGTTTAGGTCTCTTTAAATTATATTAACATTGTATTAATTAAGTGAAAATATGTAATTTTATTAATAAATCTTTTTTTATTTTCATGTTATGCATATTTCTCTTTGTTGTGGTGAGCTTTTTCATTAGTTTGTGTTTGTCCTTTGAAGAGTGCAAACTGCAAATGTACCTCTAGTTTCAGTAAATTTTTTTAAGGTAAAATCATGGAAAAGACAAAATTAGTGAATTTGTTAAGTGACTTGAGTAGTGATGGGTTACCAGGTATTGTAATACATTTAATTTAAATAATATTGCTGTTTTATAGGACATTTATCCAAAAATTAACCTCAAAATATATTTTTACCTAAGTTGATAATTGCACCATTTATTACCCAATGGTATAAAGACAACTGTCATTTGTACAAGTTCTACAGAAATCTGTTGTTACGGATACTTGAGCCATTTATTAGTCGATAGTGTACATTACATAAAAATATTACAGAAATCTGTTAAAGATTAGAAATATTTTTCCTGCGCCATCTATTAGCTAATAGCTTAATTAATTAACTAAATAAATGTCATTTGTATCCATTTTCAGGTAGAAATCATTCCACAGAATTATTGGAAAATAAATATAAGGAAATTTGTAAGCAACTGGATTGTGATTATGAAAATATCCGTAATGCTTTAAAGAGCACGACTGATTTGTATTTTTCAAATGAAATAAATACGGATTGGAAATATATTTGTTTAAGTTTATACATTTTGCACTTGTTAAATAGAGAACTTGTCTCTCAAGATGAATTATTAAGTGTACAGCAAAGTAAAACCATAAAAAATTGTATAGATAATATTGTAATAGTCGGAATTCTGACAAAGATACAATCAAATTTGCCTTTTTATGTAGCCATACACCAACCAGATCCTACAGACATATTTTTAAATTATAACATCTTGAAATGTACAACGCACGGCCTCTGTGAGCTTCTCAAATATCCAATTTTAAGGTTACTGATTTTACCAGACAGCTTGAGGGCGATCTTAGTGGCAGTTTATCAAATATGCTTTTGTCCTTTAAAAAAACCCGACCAGAAAACCGAAAGAAAATCGTCCGTAATGTCTGAAGAAATATACAACAAACTTACCGAAGAAAAGACCTTATTTTTAAAACTGTTACAACACTTACGTGCAACAATCCACCCTGGAATATTCGTCAAAGAGACCATGGCTATATTTTACACAAGTGCGCCAAACTGGTTCAAAAAATCCGTGTCGCATACGTTGACGAGTATCATTCGATCTCAAAACGGCGTAGAGCACGTGGCTGTGGCCCTACTAGATGGCGCTAACGACGATAGCGCCAAAACCTGGAAGATATTAGAGGTGTTTTCTAAACTGATCCTGAGCTGCAAGGATTTTCCAGATTTCCGGGACAATATCTGTAAACAATTGACCACGATGTTGGACAAGGTCACAGATGAATCTCTAGTTTTCGAAAGAATTTATACGCACTGCACGAAAGCGATATACCACGCTGATGAGGAAATGGGAAAGAATATTTTTGTAAGGAGAATTGTAGTATTCTTCTTGTACTTCACGTACAAGGATCATAAGTTTGAAGAAGGCGAATTTTTAACGAATAAAATTAAACAACACGTGAGATTGCTTCATGCGGTTTTTGCGGAAAAGAGTGTAGATAATCCAAATTTGCCCGTGAAGCTATTGACTCCTGTGGTGAATGTAATCTTTAGACTATACGCTTTTACTTCCAACACCAGCCTTAAAAATGTAAATACTGAATTGAAAGACGTGCTAATTTCTTTCCTGGATTCAAATTCGGTGGACCAATTCATATTATTTGATAGTTTCTTGTTTGGAATCAATTCAAAAGAGATTTTAACTTTTAGAAATGACATTATATTAAAAACAGAGAAAGAAGATGTATTGTTAAATTATTCTGATCATGCTGTGACGTATTCAGTAGTGGAAAATTCTGATTGCTTGCTAGATCTCTTAAAAAACAGAACACACATCAGAGTGAAGTTGTTTGGATACCTTTTAAATTGTTTGGTTCATAAAGATAAATATTTTCATAAGTCCAACGAGGGTCTGCTAAATATTGAAACTGAATTTATGAGCGAGTTTGTTGAAAGGAAGCTAACGGTGTACAAACTTCTCTCCGACCTAGCAGAAGACAAAGATATACAAGCTGTTATTACTGACGATCCCCACGATATTATTAAATACATAAACAACGTTTTGGAAGCGGCGATTGCCAAGTCTGTGCACAAAACCACAGATTTCGATAGTGAAGAATTCCAAATCTTTTTCACCATTCTCATGATTCTACAAATACTTGTGATCAATTCCTCTAAAATCAATTTAAAAGTTTTTAAGATTCTAAACGTATTGCTTGAGGTTATAGAGAACGAAACTGTAAATAATGAAGTTAAAGATCTTGTTGGTAAAATATTGGAAATATTAGAAAGAGGTAAAGCGAAACCTAGGAGAATGGTAGTAGAAGAGGTAAAATCAGAATTAGATAAGGCCCTTGAGAACATTTGCGATCCTCTACTTCCTGTGAGAGGGCATGGGTTAATGAGCCTGACTAAGCTGGTGGAGAAAAAAGACAAAAATGCCATGGAAAGGAAGCAATACATCCTAAATATTTTCCAGGTGAGTTGTAAAGTTGAAAACGCTTAATATTTCTCATATACTTTACATTTTAAAGCTAGTAGTAACTTTTAGTTTTCGTCACCTCAGTTATCATTGTTTTTTTTTATATGTAGATATCTACAAACAGCAATAAAGTTATAAATTCTACTTTCAGCAAAGTTTGAAGAACGAAGACTCTTATATCTATCTCAGCGCCATAGGAGGGTTGTCCGCGATGGCTGACCTTTTTCCAGATACGGTTTTGAAGATCCTTTGTGAAGAATACTCAGATTCATCTAGAGAAGATAAAGACGATGGTCATGAAGTTCGCATGAAACTTGGGGAATCTTTGGTGCGAGTGACAAGACTTTTAGGTAAGTGCAAAAAATCAGAAATATATCCTATTCTGTATTTGCCAGTTTAAGAATATGCTTGTAGTAAAACTGAAAAATTGATCATCCTGTTTACTGCAGTAGTTGAGGCATTATTTTAATTATTGTGCTTCTCGTAATAGGTAATTGTTATTTAGAACAAAAAATAAAAAAAGCTGTAAATCCCTTTATTCACATCACTTGAATTAGCGCTGTAACTAAATTATGGTAACAATGAAATAATGTGAAGCGTAAGATAAGGATGTTCACACAATAAATTTATAAAAATTATTGTTATTAACTTTGGCAACAATGTACAGAATTAATTTAATTTTCTGTATAAGTAATATTTGTAATGAAATATATAGGATGTTTCATAACAAAGAACTTGGGTACAACTCTATAAAACAAGATTAATAACTATTTTTGTACTAAATAACGTAAATATACAGGGTGTCCATAATCTCTTGAATGTCGATCTAGTGTCACAAAAATTTCCTTATTCGGTACTTCTTGCAACAGCATCGTTTTTTCCCGACAAAAAGTAGACTCCAATTATCAGCTCTTTCTTGACTCGTATACATGCTTCCTCATAATATCGCACAAAAACTTGAAATGAAAAGACAGGAATAGAAAAAACAAAAATGAATTAATCGCTTTTATTTGAAATTGACACATTTTCACGTTAGTGGCGTCAAGATAGCTTAAAATTACGCATTATTTCGAAATAATTATGGGAAGCATGGATTTTCCTAAAACCTTTTGAAATTACTTGGAGATAAGTATTAGAAAAAAGTTATAAACTTATTTTTGTACGCTAATTGTTTTTTAATTGTTTAAACAATAATAAATAGTTTTTTTAAGAACATTTAAAATAATTCAATGAATTTTAAATCGAATTCTTTCAAATTGACAATATAGGGGTTTTCGATGTCGCTGAACAAGAATATGAAGTCGAAATATGAAAATTCAAAATGGCTGATCCAATATGTCCGACTATTTTAAACAATTTATTTAACAATTATCGATTTTAAATCAAACTCCCTAATATTTGTAATATAGGGGATTTTGAGGTCGCTAAACAAGAATATGATGTCAAAAAATGAAAATTGAAAATGGCTGATCCAATATGGCCGACTATTTTAAACAATTTACTTAACTATTATCGATTTTAAATCAAACTCGTTCATATTTGTAATATAGAGGTTCGAAAAATGAAAATTATAAGTGGCTGAAGAGGTTTTATTGAAAATATGTTTTATTTTTTAAAAAACAAAATTACAAAATAATTAATTTTTAAATCTCATCGAGTTCTTGCTCTTCTTCAAAAATAACTGGGCAATTAAGGCTTTAAGCCAATAAAATTGAAAAAAAAACACTTAAATACAAAATTATCTCCTCCTATTCATTTATTTATTCTTTAATTATTTTAAAAATGGATCAATATTCATATATAAATATTAAACTCATACATTTACAGGTTTAGTATAAAAGATATATTAGACTCGTATCTGTGTCTACATCAATAAGAGAATCGCAATTTCAGATACAGAATATACGTTTTAAAAATGAATATTAAATCAGTTCATCAAAAAACGTTATTTTTTTGCTGTTATAACAATTTTCCCCTTATTACAATAAATAAAAAAAATATTTTTCGCTGGATTTACTTAACTTAATTGTTTGATGGTTTATTAAACAAAAAAAATAATTTTTTTTTGTACATTATTAAACTTTATTTAACAATAAACTTATTTTTGTACGCTAATTGTTTTCCAATTGTTTAAATAATAATAAATAGTTTTTTAAGAACATTTAAAATTATTCAATGAATTTTAAATCGAATTCTTTCAAATTGACAATAAAGGGGTTTTCGATGTCAATGAACAAGAATATGATGTTGGAAAATGAAAATTTAAAATGGCTGATCCAATATGTCCGACTATTTTAAACAATTTATTTAACAATTATCGATTTTAAATCAAACTCGCTCATATTTGTAATATAGAGGTTCGAAAAATGAAAATTATAAATGGCTAAAGAGGATTTATTGAAAATATGTTTTATTTTTTAAAAAACAAATTTACAAAATAATTAATTTTTAAATCTCATCGAGTTCTTGCTCTTCTTCAAAAATAACTGGGCAATTAAGGCTTTAAGCCAATAAAATTGAAAAAAAAACACTTAAATACAAAATTATCTCCTCCTATTCATTTATTTATTCTTTAATTATTTTAAAAATGGATCAATATTCATATATAAATATTAAACTCATACATTTACAGGTTTAGTATAAAAGATATATTAGACTCATATCTGTGTCTACATCAATAAGAGAATCGCAATTTCAGATACAGAATATACGTTTTAAAAATGAATATTAAATCAGTTCATCAAAAAACGTTATTTTTTTGCTGTTATAACAATTTTCCCCTTATTACAATAAATAAAAAAAATATTTTTCGCTGGATTTACTTAACTTAATTGTTTGATGGTTTATTAAACAAAAAAAAAATTTTTTTACATTATTAAACTTTATTTAACAATAAACTTCACGAATTTTCCATGAAATATTTTTATTTTTTGTTTTTTTCAACTACTATTCCAATTTTTTAAGAAAAATAAAATGCACCATCTTAAAGTAGAGATTTTAAGCTTTAAAAAGTGCTCTCATAAAGTTTCAATATCACATTTACAACTATAGTTTTTGATCTATAAAGTATGTGATTTTTTAAAATTATATGTTGGGCTCAATATTTTTCAAATTAAATTTTTAAGATATTTTCCATATAGCTCACTGTTTCAATCGTCATTTGAAGAGTAATCTATGAAAGTTACAGATATTTATTTTAAAAATTAAAAGAATGACAACTATTTTATTATTATTGTATAAAATTATAGAATGACGTAACTTTGTATACGTATTATATATATTTTTTTCTCTCAAGTTTAAACTCTTGACTCTTATTTAATTTTTGTGAGGTCGATCAAAAGTTCAGTGTAGCGCGCTCGTGGCCGCGTGCTCTTCGAGAGCTATTTTGGGGGCCACCCGTCTCATTTTTCGTACGTTAGAAAAAAAAATTGTACAGCCTTCAATTCGCATTTTAGGAAAAAAACTTTATTAACATGTTTTATGTAAAATTTTGTTTTTTTGAATGGCGCAGTTATTTTTTTAATTAAATTTTTTTATATATTTTTCAAAAACTAATTTTGCAACTAATTTGTAAAATAAATAATTTAGCGTACACTCTACAGTTGGTAACTTTTTATATATTGTTTCTGACAACTTTCAAAGTGAAAAATAAAAAGTTCTCTCTTCTAGTAATTTTCGCGAAGTCAAAATCTATCTTGACTCCACTACGTTATAAAAAATAAAAAAAACATCTTAGATTAATTTTATTACTGTAAAATAAGATCTAAAATATGTTTTTAATTAAAGTTTTAAGGGAACGTGTTCCTTTTACATTCATTTCTGCGGCCAAACTCGAACTCCTCGATTTTATTTCACCGACTCGTCGATTACTTTCGTTCGAAAGATACGGACTGTTATAAAGCGGCGTGTAAGCGCCATCCCAACTGTAAATATCGCGATATGAGAGAATTCCAGGCAATTCGTTAAAACGTCGTCGCCGTATTGCGGTTTCGGCATTGCCGGAGATGTGCAATAAAAACGGACGTGATATAAGTCGCGAAGGTACTGTTCGATTATATGACCGCTCGTGGGGAAAATACGTGGTACTGGCTATACAAGGTGGGCCGGAAAAGAACACATTAAAATAGGAGTACTTCATTTCAAATTCCAGATGGACGTTCATGTTTAGTTTCTCCTGAAAATGAGAAGTGCAGAAATTAAAAAAAAAACAACTTTCCGACAGAAAATGCATATTTTTTTAATAAAAACCAGAGTGTAGGTACCGATTAATTTCGTGGTATTTTGTACTAGGGTTGACTTTTGAACACTCTCTACGGTGGCTCCACAGGTTCTGTAGCGAGGTCCGCCTCGGAATTGGAAAATTGACACTCTGGAGAAACACCCATCTTTGAATTGTGACAGTCTCCAACGAATTGCTGATCTACAAACTATTAATGTTTGCTTTGTTTCAAATTTTGTACAATTCGAAAGTGTGAAGAAAATTTTCACGCGTTCCTGCACTGTTGGCGGTGGCTGGGCGATTATAGACATGCGTGGTTAATATCGTCTGCTATGGTTGTAAGTTTTAACGGCAATCGAGGCCTCGTAAAGGGGTTTTCGGGAAATTTTGGAAACATGCGTGAATTTTTGTTATCCCGCGCTGCGACTTCCAAAATGCGGTGTAAGTCGCCTGCAACTTTCTGCCTATGATTTTGTAATTATAGTGGGAAAAATTATCGAATTCTCGTTGAAACATGGGTGAAATTCGCCAATTTATTTAAAATACGATTGAAAATATCAAAATTCAGCCACTAATTGAAAGTAATTTCTTAAAATTTATATAAATGCGTTCTTTCTTACTGACTAATTGTTCGTTTTCCTTGTTCGTATCTCTCATATGGGTCGTAACTAATTCATGTGGCCATTAAAACTTTGTCGGTTCTTCATAACATACCAAATAAAAATTAAAAAACGTCATTAAAACGTACGACATAAAAAAATGAAGTGCACTTGTAATATACCAGATGCGTTACTCCATACAAAGACCCCCTTGTTCCTTTAAAACTGTACTCGTGACAGTGGCGGAGTAGCACTATTTTCCCCAAAGGCACACGATTGCATTAAGGAACCTTTTTTTCTTTTTTATTTTTGATGAGAGAATATTAAATAGTTGCTAATAATTTACTGGATATTTTTTACTTTTATTAATTGTATAATAAAGTATTATCATTAAAATCAATACAGGGTGTTTATTAAGTACTTGTACAAACTTTAACAAGCCGTTGGGGACCCATTTCCATAATGTGCATATGAACTTTTTATCTTAAAATTAGTCAAATATTCACCCATTAAAGTTTGTACAAGTACCTACTTAATAAACATTCTGAATAATTGAAGCAAAAATAGATTCGGCTAGAAGTTGTGTCAATTTTTTTTTAAATATGAACATACTTTTGATTATTTTTATAATTATGAAAGTATCAGCTGAGATTTGTGGTCTTGGCTAATCTTTAATGGCAGATTTTGCCACAAAAATTAACAAAAACAAATTCCTATAAATGTATGTCCGGAAACGCTTCCTTTTCTAGATTAGATACTGGCCATTTGAAATTAATTAAATACCTACTTAGTTTATTTTTAGTTGCAAAAAACAGATGTAGGAAGTTCATACGATTTTATTTTACTAATGTACAATTTTATAAAGGCTTTAGTGTTCTACAGTAATAGTGAGCCTATTTAGAATTCATTTGTGGATAATGAAAAACAAAAACTGAACACAAAATTTAAATGAAATCGGTCCATCCATTTTTTTGTTATTTAAAAAATAAGAACTTTTTAAAAATACTTTCAGGTCAATGTTTTTCCGCGGAAACGTGATATTTCGAACAAAAGTGACATATGTCATCAGTCACAGAAAAAAAGCAATGCTGACTAATATTTTGAATCTATCTAAAACTTAATTTGTTGAAAAGAAAAAAATTGAAATGAAAAACTATAAAAAATTCATTGCGTCCTCAAATTCGCCATTTTTACTGGGCTAGTCCGTCACTGGCCTGAGCAAGAGTTCAACATACCAGCATCTCTAGCAGGAAAAAATAACTGGGACTTGGATGTTTCAAAATTAATATTTGCAAGGAGACTAGTGGTATTCGGAATATTTCGTGGTAACGGTATTAACAAATTGCAAAATATAAGTATGTCGGTATTATGTATCTACCTGCCAGATAATGATTAAAACTCATCATTAAAAATTATAGTTAACTGTACCATGCGCATGTCAGCAGGTAGAGAAAAAATAAATAAATCTTAGAATTTTCTTTTTTCATTTTAAAAATTGAACGTTTCGTAAAACGTCTTTTCTTCAAGTAAGTTTACGAAAAAACGACATAAAATATTATAGGATCGATTTCAATATGGCCCATTTTAGGTAATCGGCCACATGCAGCATCAACGAGTTCAAAAACATTTCACATGACGTTATAAGTCTAAAAATAAACTCAAATGTACGATCATTATGGAGTGTCATCTGGATATTTTTCGTGGTACATCTGTTGTGCAAAAAAATTAATTACCGTACTAGTCACATTAATATATTTTTAATTTCAGCGCTATTCTTGCGGTTCTTTTTTTATTACATTTGATTAGCAGATGTGCGGAATAAATCTGTTCATTTAACAGATAATAAACGGTACAGCGGTCATCTGCGTGGATGAATGACATTTTTCCGGAATGCAGAGGCAGAAAAGTGTTTTTACAGGGTGATTACTATTAATTTAAGAACCAAACTATACGAGCAGATTTTAAAGGTTACAATTTGATTTTAAGGTGACATGGCGCCGAAGTACAAACCACTGCTATTGAATACGTTTCTGATGGGAGCTAAAGATGAAGATGACTTGATCAGGGCGTCAAGTCTGTCGAATTTGGGAGAAATATGTCGAGTCTTGGGATATAAATTGGGAACGATTGTCACTGAGGTAGGTGTGAACTGAACAACTTTAAAATTAACGATCATGTACTTTTAGTAGAAGTATAAAGATGATAATTACCATCCACCTAATTTTTAGTTTCGACTTTGGAAAATCTTGTAAAATTCTTTATTTGCATTCTAGTATACAGATCTACCACAAACAATTTTATGAGGATTTTGACTGCAACAAATCTTTATAAAAAAAAAATCGATAAAGGAACATTTTATATTATTAAGAAATATTTCAGATGTTGAAGGAACAATTAATAACATTCCTAATATTTTTGGACATACTAATATGAAATCAGAAATTATGATAAACCTAAAAAAATTCTTAACATGTTCTAGTTCTTAATAACTTTTATTTTATTTTTTTGTATTGAAAGATTAATACTTTGTACATTCTTTTGGTAATATATATTTGTTAATATTTTTCATCGAAAAAAAAACATTTTTGACAATAATTTGAAATTTTTTTTTTTATTAAACAGAAAATTATTTTCCTTAAACCACTTTGATAATAAATTTTTATAATATATATTTTTTTCTTTAAAAAAAATATTTTTTCTCAAAAAACTATATATTTAAAAAAAAATTTTTTCTAAACAAAAATTTATTTTTTCTTAAAACTTCATCAAGTAATTTTCATCAAAAAATATTTTTTCAAAAGATTATTTTTCTCGATTTACATTTTGATTTGGAAAAAATTACACAGGTACACAAAAAAATGTCAAGACCTAGAGAGTAGGGGTAGACCCCCCTAGCCCTCCGTTTTTGGGGTCGCTGAAACCGAATATGACTATTATAGTCCAAGCATTATAGAGAAATGCTTACAGAAGTTATTACCTGGACAAAAAAATATGACCGTTTAGAAAATTAAATTTTAAATTGAGTTTCTTGTTCTTTAAACTCGATCCAATATGGCGAACATGGTTAAAAAAAATCGCAAAGTTGAAAAAAACGGTTTTTCTAAAATAACTAAAAAAATATAGCACGGATTGAAAAATTTTAAATGAGAAAGTTGTAGGTTTTAAAAAGATCTATCGACTGATTTTTTGAAAGTATCGATTGCTTTGTTACTTTTCGAGATATATCGAAAAAACCGTTAAAAATCTTCTCTTTTCGCTTCTTCTATAACTCGTTTACATTTACGTGCCCATATTTGCTATTTACTGCAAGCATAGCCCACGGCAAGCCAAAAAAGTACATTTTTGAAAAATTTAAAAATATTAATTATTTTTCGAGATATATCGATTTTTTGAAAAAAAGGCGCTCTCGAAAATTGGCTAGATCTTCTCAGCGGATAGCCCTACAGTAACGATTTTCGGTTTAATTTCTTCGTAAAGAGTTATATTATATACGTTTTGGCTGTATATTGTTTAATCTTCTATTGAAAAATAATATTTTATCAAGTGTGGAAAAAGGCCAAAATTCATCCAATATTTAAAAACCGTGAAAAAAATGCTTGCATTAAAAATTATAGAGCAATATCGGTAATGTCAAATTTTACTAAGATTGTATCACATAACAAAATTTATTTTTCTGTGTTTCATTAAATATCACACAGTACAGTCAAAACGCAGCTTCATTGTTAATAAACAATTACAAATTTAGCTACATTTATTCAATATGTTTTAAATACCTAAGTAGATGATAGCAGCCAAACGGATGTAAAGTTTGTACAGATTTTTCTAAGGCCTTTGATAAAGCTGATCATGTCATTTTAATCAGTTGGTAAACCGCAACTTATTGCAAAATGCAACAATCTTTTTTTATAGTTATATTATAAGTTTTGCACTAAAAATTGATTTCTATTGAACAGTAGAAGCTAGGTATTATTATTTATTAGTATAACGATTTCGAGATTAATGTTGCTCTTTGGGGAATAAATACTGTATGATGTGCTTTTCGATATGAGATAATAGAAACAAAATTTTAGCAATATTTGTTGACATGTAGTTGCAGTTATTATATTAATTTTATAATTTTATAATTTTAAGGGCCAGTACTTTGATTGTAACCATTTGATTTAGTTAACCAAGTCTTAACCACTAATAATACCGCCCCCAGTATCTACTAAGACTTTCGTACCTACCTTTTATCTTTAAATCCTACTTTTCCAAGGTTCTAGTTTGTGTTCACGCCGTCATCACTACAGACAAGTCTCCAGAGGCCCGTCGCGCCGCTGTCACAGTCCTGAGGCAGCTGTTGGCGGGTTTGGAGAGCGAGATGATAGCCTTTCTCAAGGACGATATCCTTCCGATCTACAGGACTCTCAAGGAGATCTATGACAACGACAAGGACGAAGTCGTGCGCCTCCAGGCCCAACTGGCTTTGGAGGAACTCAACGAGAACATGAGGAACTTTGTTTTCCCCAAACCACAGTTAAACGCCGAGAAAAAGATTATTATGTTGAATTGATGGATGAAATAAACAGAACTTGTTTTAATTGGATTTTTTTTCTATTATTCCTCGACAGATGTAAAAATCTATTATAGCGGTTTGAGAGGAGGTGGATAGGATCAGTCGTTAAAAAACTGTAAGTATTGAACACTAACAAAAAGGACACTTAAGAAAATAAGAGAATTAAAAAATTGAACTCACTTTATTCATACCTCTAAGACTTGCAGGACAATATCACTATTATGTCAGTAAATAAATAAAACTAACACCAATTGCATACTATACCCAGTGTTCTTTAAATACGTGAACTTTCGCGCAGTCTGCCGTCCGCGCGAAAGTTGAGGCAAACACCTGGTATATCACAGCGATACGCAATTGTCTTAAGTTAAGCGACCCTCCTTACAATAAATATTAATACAAATATGCGTTAAAAAATAGTTAGATACGTCACTTGTAATACTAATAATTTACTAAGAATATCTTACTTCACCACTAATTTATCACAAAGAATGTTGTGTAGTGGAATGTATTAAGGTCACACATTAACTGGTTTCGAGTAAAAAAAATAATCCATACGGCGACGTTGCTCAAACTCAACACCTTCGGAGTGAGATCTAGGTACTTCAGGAAACAAAAACGAGTGGAGGCTCCCCGAGCCAACTCCGTTTCTAAGTTATTTGCTGTTCCTGCCTTTGCTCCTTCCTTCGCAGCCTTCCACTTCCGTCACGGTGCTGCAACTACTAGTGGAAATCTCGGAGGCTATGGAGATGTTGTCGAACTCCTCTATGATCTTCCTGCCGGCGATTTTCAAGGCTATCGCCACGATTCCTATGACTCCAGCGATGGCTAGCATCGTGATGACGAAAATGGGGACGATGTTGCTCTTGTAGGAGGTTTGGGTTGTTGTTTGAGTTGCCTCTTCCTTAACTGGAACAAGAATATTGTATAAAATATGGTGGCGTTATGATTGAAAGTCTTTATAGAAAATAATAAAAATTAGGAAATAAAGAAAGTTGGGGAAATTGGGATCGGTTGAAACAAATATGCTAAAATGCTTATTAACATGTTTTGTGTTAATGTTAATTTTGTTGTTTTTGTGTCGTTTTTATGTCGAGTTTCCTCAATTTTTTTATTTTTTTGGTTTGAAAAAAAAATTAAGTTTTAATTACAATTTTTCTGGTTTTTACACATCTTTAGCTCTATATTTCTAAAAATTATTTACATTTTCATATTTTGAAGTCGTACCTTTTTTTATGTTTTTATCCTTTGAATTTTATTTTATCTGTTTATTTTTCTGTTGTGAAAATCGACACTTAATGAAATTAATTATTAACATTTATTTTTATTTATTATTAATTATTCTTGAAATTAGAACTATTTATTTAATAAAAAAAAATAATCACTATAGTCCGGGCGAATGAGACCAAAAACATGCCTGTTTAAAAATCCGGTTTAAGTCGAATTTTATGGTCTTAAAATTAAGTAAAAAATACACATAACAAAAGCCTAAATTTGTGTATTTGTAAAGGTCAAGCGTCATATTGTTTATAACAAAAGAAAAAAAATTTGCTCTTTTTTTCAGTTTGTCGCTTACATCTCCGAAAATAAGCCTCTAATCGACATTAGGTATACTAAGCGATTTTGAATCTGAAGACATTTGCTACAAGGATAGGTTTTTGTGAAAGCTCGCAAAATTTTTTTATATTGCAAAAGTAGCAGTGAAAAAAAAAGTGGAAAATTTTCAGAATTAAATAAAAGGAACAAATTTGACTAAAATTGGATGAAACTACAAAAACAAAACTGTTGGGGTGCTCAACAAATACCCGCAATCTGGACCCCAATTTCAAAATGGCGGCCTATTGCAAAATTATAAAGTCGAAAAAACGAGCGCGTATATCTTCTGCCCAAGTTAACATATCGAAATTCAGTAAAAAATGAACGAAATGTAAACACATTATCTCGCGTTTGTGTAAATTTCAGATTTTTTAAGTTTTAAAATAAAAGTTATTAAAAAAACGAGTCCTTATCTCGGCGATTTTTTAATATACAGATTTTAAATCAAATAGTGCTTAAAAAACATGAATTTAAAAAAAAGCGTCTCGATCCGACCAATAGGAGCCGAGATATACAGGGTGGCACAAAAGTATGGAAACTCCTCCTGGAAAATAACTCATCAGGAGTGCATTTTCTTGAAAAATGATAAATCCAAAAGATTTAGGATTTTTCCCTGGCTATTCAATAGCGACCTTGTATTCGACCTTGACCTTCAAGGTCATTTCAAGGTCAAAATTGATTTTTCAAATAGGATAATAGGACCCCTATTTTTATTGCAGATTTGGAAAGAGCAGGAAATTTTACGTCCAAAATTGGTCTTGACCGTGACTTTGACAATGACCTTCAAGGTCAAATGTGGGTCGACTTCCAAAAGTCCCCGTACGGCAGAACTTTCGAAGAATGCATTTTGGGAAAAAATGTTTCAGACAAAAGTGTAAGGATTTTTCCCTGGCTATCTGATGGTGACCTTGGATTTGACCTTGACTTTGACCTTCAAAGTCATTTGAAGGTCAAGTTAATGTTTTTAAATGGGAATCCTTATTTTTTATTGCGGATTTGGATAGAGCAAGGTCAAGACCAAATTTGGATGTAAAATTTCCTGCTCATTCCAAATCCGCAATAAAAAATAGCGGTTCCAATTTGAAAATACAATTTTGACCTCGAAGATCAAGGTCAAGGTCGAATATAAGGGCGCCATTGAATAGCCAGGGAAAAATCCTAAAACTTTTGTATTTATCATTTTTCAAGAAAATGCACTCCTGACGAGTTATTCAGGGGTTTCCATGCTTTTGTGTCACCCTGAATATTTTTTTAAACGGTATTCTCGCTGTTCTATTTAATTCGATCCTTTTTTACCAAAATTTCGATATCTTGACTTGGGTAGAAGATATACGCACTAGCGTCTTCGACTTTATAATTTTGCAAAATTGCCTAAATTTACGAGAATATGCCTTAATAGTCCAAGCATTCTGTCAGATTAATGTTAAATTTGCAGAAATTATTATCTGGACAAAAAAAATAAGACCGTATGGAAAATTTTAAATTGAGTTTCTAGTTCTTTAAACTCGATCCAAAATGGCGAACATGGTTAAAAAAATCGCAAAGTTGCAAGAAAACGGTTTTTCTAAATTAATTAAAAAAATATAGCACCGATCGAAAAATTTTAAATGAGAAAGTTGAAGGTTTTAAAAATATCTATCTAATGATTTCTTGTAAGCGCCGATTGCTTTGTTACTTTTCGAGATATATCGAAAAACCTTTAAAAATCTTCTCTTTTCTCTTCTATAACTCGTTTACATTTACATTACCGTGCTTGCTATTTACTGCAAGCATAGCCCGCAGCAAGCCAAAAAAGTGCATTTTTGAAAAATTTTAAAATNAAAGAAAACTGTTGGGGTGCTCAAAAAATACCCGCAATCTGGACCCCAATTTCAAAATGGCGGCCTATTGCAAAATTATAAAGTCGAAAAAACGAGCGCGTATATCTTCTGCCCAAGTTAACATATCGAAATTCAGTAAAAAATGAACGAAATGTAAATATATCTCGCGTTTGTGTAAATTTCAGATTTTTTTAAGTTTTAAAATAAAAGTTATTAAAAAAAAACGGTTTCCTTATCTCGGCGGTTTTTTAATATACAGATTTCAAATCAAATAGTGCTTAAAATAGTGCTTAAAAACATGAATTTAAAAAAAAGCGTCTCGATCCGACCAATAGGAGCCGAGATATACAGGGTGGCACAAAAGTATGGAAACTCCTTGAATAACTCATCAGGAGTGCATTTTCTTGAAAAATGATAAATCCAAAAGTTTTAGGATTTTTCCCTGGCTATTCAATAGCGCCCTTGTGTTCGACCTTGACCTTGACCTTCATGTTCATTTCAAGGTCAAAATTGATTTTTCATATAGGAACCCCTATTTTTTATTGCAGATTTGGAAAGTGCAGGAAATTTTACGTCCAAACTTGGTCTTGACCATGATATTGACAATGACCTTCAAGGTCAAATGTGGGTCGACTTCCAAAAGTCCCCGTACGGCAGAACTTTCGAAGAATGCATTTTGGAAAAAAATGTTTCAGACAAAAGTGTAAGGAATTTTCCCTGGCTATCTGATGGTGACCTTGGATTTGACCTTGACCTTCAAGGTCATTTGAAGGTCAAGTTAAGTTTTTTAAATGAAAATTTCTATTTTTTATTGCGGATTTGGAAAGAGCAAGGTCAAGACCAAATTTGGATGTAAAATTTCCTGCTCATTCCAAATTCGCAATAAAAAATAGGGCTTCCCATTTGAAAAAACAATTTTGACCTTGAAATGACCTCGAAGGTCAAGGTCGAATACAAGGGCGCCATTGACTAGTCAGGGAAAAATCCTAAAACTTTTGTATTTATCATTTTTCAAGAAAATGCACTCCTCACGAGTTATTCAGGGGTTTCCATACTTTTGTGCCACCCTGTATATTTTTTTAAACGGTATTCTAGCTGTTCTATTTAATTCGATCCTCTTTTACCAAATTTCGATATCTTGACTTGAACAGAAGATATACGCGCTAGCGTCCTCGACTTTATAATTTTGCAAAATTGACTAAATTTACGAGAAAATGCCTTAAATACAGGTTCCAAGTACATTGGTGTAATTTTTACATTCGACACCGTCTTCCTCTGGATATTACATAAAGACAATTTGTTTTTTTTTTTGTTATTATGAATTTCTCAGCTTCTGAATTGACTGTACGTAAAGATTTTCGTCCCTCCTTTGTGTTTTGCGTATACAAAGTCGTCTTAGTCGCGCTGTTCAGAGCGAACCACGAACAAAGAGCCATTAATTCAGTGAATCCACGAAAACCGTATAATCTGGTCGGTGACATGCAACGTGCTGCACTCAACCGTTCAACCTAGTTCGAGCGCACACACAATCCTAGCTTGGAGATTACAAAGTAATGTGTGATCTCTGCAGGAAGCAGGTTAATGTATTACTAGAGGCTCCGGATTAGACACGCTCGCAGGACGCGAGCAGTTTTACCACTCTCTTGTGATATAATCCAGAAGCTGGTCGCACGTCGTAAAAACATCGGCCTGCTCTAGAATCTCCATATAAAATAGTGTGGAAAAGAAAAGCCTGTGCTCACTTCAGAGCGATGGTAAATGCAACGCGTCTATACGGGCTGTATAAAACAACTAAAATTAGTATTAGAGAAAAATTTGAACAAACTGTTATGTGATAACTACCTACACAACTATTTACATACTAGATTTGAAATTCAATTAGTATGTCTTGAAAAACGATTACTATCTCCAGCTGTCAGTTGATTAAGTTGTATATTTATTAATAAATGATGACATCTCTTGTACGGTTTACACTAATTAAAATTATTATCTATGTAGGTAATCTAATTTCCAATTATGGTCATTTATACAGGGTGTCCCGCTAAGGCCGGCGAGGTACGATATTAGAGAAAAAAAATTTGATTAATAAATCGACCAAGAGAAGGTTAGCGTCGTGTTCCTCAATTCATTATCACTATTTATTTTCTGTTCACTAATTTGCGAATAACTTGATAACAAAAAAAGATATCGAACCCTATTTGGCGACAAACTGTAGCTATTTTTATGCTCTTCAAACTAACCTATAAAAAGTTTTATCCTGCTATTTCACTTGTTTAAAAAACGTGAAACAACCTAAACGTTGGTAAATAGCGCCCATAAATAAACAACACTTTCGTTAGAAATTTCAAACTTATACTATGTTCAACAATTTTTTGTGCATTTATGTAAAGAAACCTATAGCATTGTATTTAAAATTTTTGATAATAATCCATAAAACGGCATTCTTTTGAAATAACGCCATCTATAGGTTTCCATATTGAGATTCATGATATT